CATAAGTTTACAGTAGCCTTTATTCTAGAGATGATTTGGTTTTATTAGTAAGTCCTCTTGTGAGGACTTGTCTTACCACTCTGACCAGTTGGAGGATGAACTACAATTCCTGGGTTTGTATAAGCTCTGAGGAACTGATCCACCTGTCATTTCCTGGTGATTTGCCCCTTGGCTTCTATAGTTTCTTCACACACATGTCTTGATCAACATTTAGCCAAAATCCCCAGATCATATTATGTTCAACCCCTGCTTCCTGTCCCTTCTACCTTTCTGTAAATAACTGCCCCTTGGTATTTTACCCTACAAAGAGCTGTTAAAGAATTCAGCAAGACACTTTGTCTATTCTCTTTCTCCCACCCTCACTTGCAAGGCTTTTCCTGAAGTCATGAGCTTCACTGCATCCTGTGATGAGCACCTGAGCACAGGTCACAATAGCAGTCCTGCTCACACAAATACTTAGTGCTTGGCTATTTCAGGGCCCTGGGTTTGCTTAATCCTGTCCACAAACTCCACAGGTGCTTCAGGAAAGAGTGGGCTTTACGAGGTGCACTGCACTCAGCAGACCCGCTGTCATAACTGAGAGTCTCAACACAGTAGATAGCTAGAAGTCATGTGCTTATGGCTTTATTTGGATCTATTTTTCTGTTGTATTGATTTTCTTAGATATGTTCTGCTTGAATTGATCATGGGGAGTGGAGGGGGTTGATAAGAGAGCTAGTCCAAAAGTGGGTGGTTTTTTTTTAATAAAACATTTGATTTTATTATTGTGTGTGTGTGTGTGTGTGTGTGTGTGTGTGGTTGTGGGTGCCTGAAGAGGCCAGAGAGAGCGTCAGATCCTCTGGAGCAGTAGTTAAGGGTAGTTGCGAGCCACCTGACATGAGTATTAGAAATCAAACTCGGGGTTTTGGAAGAGCAGAAAGCATTTTTAACTGCTGAGCCATTTTTCCAGTCCCAAATGTTGGGTTTTCTGTAGAATAAAACCTCAGTATGCATAATCCATTCACCAAAGATTAGGCATAAACAATATAGCAGAGTTCTGGCTTCTGCAGAAGCCTAAGTTCTAAGATGATCTTGTGCACATACTCTGACAATTCACTTGAAACTTTCTCCTGCATAGGATTAAATGGCTACAAGATGGGAGCCAACTCCTCTTTGGAAAGGTGCATAAAGACTGTATCTACGTCCTCATTGACACATCTCACTCAATGAAGAGCAAACTGAACTTGGTGAAGGATAAGATCATTTGGTTCATACAGGTGAGATGGACTGACTATCAAATTTGCACACTTGGAGCCTGTGTATCATAAATGCATCTCCAAAAGTCGTTGCCTGTAGCATCTATGAGCAGTGGACAGGGGCACATTGTGCTAAAGGGACCATAAAGAAAACAGATCCAGAAAAGAGCTCCCCTTTGCCATTATAGAACCATCAGCTGTCCCTTGCAATCAGTTCTGTCCTCTCTTATGTCCTTTCTATACTCACCTCCTTAGGTTATTGCTAACCTGAAGTCTGTGATGTATAGAAACCACTATTGATTTCCATGTATTTAAGATCCTGGTATTTTTATTTAATTTCAAATATCTATTAGTGGAGCTGTGTTAATTGGCTCCAGAGCTGATGCATGGCAGAGGTTTGGCTAATGAACGGAAGCTCCAGTTCCAATTTCTCCTGCGTTGCCTCTGAGTTGCACGCTTAGAAGCAGGTTGCTTGCTTCCTAACTCCAGTTTCCACACCTGTAAATGGGTCTCACAGAATTGTCATGAGTCTGTTGTTGTGATCATGGAGAATATTTAAGAAATCCAAAATATAGTTCTTAACAAACATCTATAGGAGAAATGTGGGCTGGGAAGGCAACTGAATAGGTCTGTACCCAAATAATAGACTTCCCAAAAGATAGTGATCCAAATGATGACATTTTGAATTTCCTTTCTTTAAGCATATTCTATTTAACAGACTAGCTCAACATATCCTCAATGTCAGTGCTGTATTTGATGTCACATTACAATGTACACTTATATGCGTATGGCATATTATACTTATGCATACATAATATTTGTAAAGTAAGTATCTACATTGTGTAATTTTCATTCCAAAAACCTTTGCACAGAAACAGTTTTTTTCCTATTGAACATAATTTTTGGCTTCTAGAACTAAAAATAGATGTCCTAGTGATTATATTAAATTGCAAGTTCTCCTAAGCTTTTCTTACATTTGAGTGGTTTTATGGTTAAATGATAATTGTCTCTTACAGGAACAGGCTCAGTCCTGGATTAGAGATATTAAGGTAAAAAGGAGAATAAATCTGGGAGAATTCTGAATTTTCCCCTGTGTACTGAGTGTATTTATAGGATAGAAATTGTTGAAAAAATGGATTGAGTTCCAAGGATGGCAGTGGCTTCATGTGGGTACTTCGTGTTTACAAAAGTCACTTTAATCCAAGCTCATTAGCCGGTATCTTAA